GCCCACAGCACAGCACTCCTCAAAGCCCTGTTCAAATATCAAAAGGACATTTAGGAAACAGTTGTGCCCCTTGCAATAACCTTGGCCCATCTACTAGAGTTAGAACAAGGACTTACGGGATGCCACCGTACGTGGACCTTAGGGGCTAAGATCCAGCTCTGGGTTCACCCTGCCTTGTCCTGAAACCTCAGATGCAGTGTGAATGGCTTTTGCATCCGTTTTCTCACCAGCGAGACGAGGACGGGAGAGGCAACACAGGCCAGAGAGCCACCGGGTTAGAGACTTCTGGAAGGACCCTCACCCCCCAGCCAAGAGAATCTCCACCCCAGAGTCACAACAGTTGGGTGGGAAACGGGCAGCCCCTCAGCCACTGTGGTCCCACCCCCAGAGGCATGGAAAAGGCCTTTCACCACATCCGAGGCCAGGGATTGGATGTCTCCTCCTTCTCCTTCTCCTCCCCTCTTCCTCCTCCTCTCCCTCCTTATTCTTGTTCTTCTTGCCACCCTCCTCTTTATTTGGGAGACTCTTCAGAGGCTCCAGGCAAAATGAGCACTCAATGAATAGTAACGGTAAAGAAGTAAAGATCGGTCATGTTGATGCATTTAGTCCAGAAGTGGGCTGCCGGTGGGGGTTCGCAGGCTGGCTGCTTCTCCAAGGGAACCAAACAAACAAGGAGGGAGGAGGGGTAGAGGGAAGGGCAGAGAGTGGTCAGGCCAGGGGACTCTTCCCACTTTAAACCGAACCGAGAAATCCCCCACTAGGCTCCTTCAGTAGAAGGCAAATGAATGTGCTGTCCATGAAGGTAGGGGAGAGCATGTTCCTTAGGAAAAGCTAAACATTTTAAAGCAAAAGGCAAGTAATCCAAAGTCTTAACCAAAAAGGAGTCACTGAAATGTTTCTAAGGATCTGCTTCTTCCTTTCTCCTGGCACAATGTTTGATGTGGCTGTAACGAAGCACCGCAGTGTCGGTCACTGTTCTGACTCTGTTAGCTAATCCCAGTTGCTGCTGCTTGTTGTTAGGTGCCTCTGAGTTGGTTTCAACTCATGGCGACCCCACGCACAACAGAACGAAACACTGCCCGATTCTACGCCATCCCCACAATCTTCGCGATGTTTGAGCCCATCATTGCTGCCACTGTGTCAATCCATCTAGTTGAGGGTGTTCCTCTTTTTCACCGACCCTCTACTTTAACAAGCGTGATGTCCTTCCCCAGAGACTGGTCCCTCCTGACAACATGTCCAAAGTATGTGAGACCAAGTCTCGCCATCCTCGCTTCTAAGCAGCATTCTGGCTGTGCTTCTTCCAAGACAGTATGAGCCCACCAATGTGCGTCTAGTACATCCTTCGCAGCAGACCTCTAGGTAAGCCCTCAGGTGAAGTGTCTTCAGATAAGGGCTTCAGGTCTTTCCTCCTTTGTTAAACATTTCCAGAGCATTTCCTGCTGGACAAACCCAGCCCTAGACCTCCTTTCCTGTCTGCTCCGCCCCTACTCTGTACATAAAATGAAATACTCCAGTACATAACTCTCTAGAAGAACCAGAAAATAATACCTTCTAGCCAAGCTTCAGCTCGAGCCAAAAAAAAAAAACCAAAACCAAATCCGTTGCCGTCAAGTCGATTCCGACTCACAGTGACCCTATAGGACAGAGTAGAACTGCCCCATCACGTTTCCAAGGGGCCACTGGTGGATTCAAACTGTCGACCTTTTGGTTAGCAGCTGAGCTCTTAACCACTATGTCACCAGGGTTTCCAAGCAGGACACCTCTTCTTAAAAGCATTTTCACGTGTTGCTACGATGCCTGGCAATCTATTTCCGAAAATCAGCCGGTGAAAACCCTATGGATCACAATGAAAGCGATCATGGGGCTGGCGCAGCACTGGGCAGCGTTTTGTTCTGTTGTGCATGGGGTCGCCATGAGTCAGGAGCCAACTCAATGGCAGCCAGCAACAACCTCCACCATCATGGATGGAATGTCCCTCCTCGTGTTCCAGTGGCACCCTGTGGGCCCCTCCACTGAGGGTGTCACCACCCTGAATTCTAAGTGTTGAGTTCTTTTCTGCCCCTCCACTGGGCTGTAAGCTCCTGGAAACCGTAACTTCTTCACTCAGAATCCCAAGGAGCCAGCAGGGGTTCTAGCACAAAGCAGGTACCCAGGAAGCGTCTGATGAATTAATGAATTCACCAGTTACCTTATTTCTACTCTGTTTCTAAATGAACACGTGCATGGCTGCACTGCCTACAAAGAACACTCACACACACTGATCCTACCAACATTTGATCCTAACACCCCTCGGCACGTCCCCCAAGCGGGGAGTCACGAAGGTTCTCATTTACAGTGACGACACAGGCCCAGAGAGACAAAGTAACTTGACTGGTGTCACACAAGGACTAGAACGGATTCAGTGAATGCTTCTATGGAAACGATTTAAACTATTTCTCATTAGATGTTTGCATTTCAAATAGCATCCCGTCACATTAGATCAGAGAATTTCCTAGGACGTACTGACCATTACGCTAACTGGCTTGGGTCCTTGATTTATAACTCAGTCTCATCACTGGCCCATGCATGTCCCTCTTCCATTTTATCAATCTGTTTGTTTATACATTTAATTCTTTTTAACTATGTAAACACTGGCGTAAAATAAGTAAATAAATAAAAACCCGTTGTCGTTGACTCCAACTCATGCGGCCCGAAGTGTCGCAGAGTAGAACTACTCCGAAAGTTGTCCTGGCTGTAATCTTTACAGAAGCAGATCGCCAGGCCCTTCTTCCACGGTACTGCTGGGTGGGTTCAAACCACCAACCTTTCATTTAGTAGCCAAGTGATATTCATACTCTATTATGATTTAAGAGCGTATTAAATAACTGTCCTGGAGTGAAGGGAAACTCCCAGAGAGGAACATTCTTCCTGAACCACTTCAACATGTTTGGTGGCACCTGAGTAGTCTCAGTACAACAGTATCTACATCAAGGAAGAAGGTACAATTCAATCAAACGCAGTCTTTTGCCAGGTCTTCACATTCACAGGCAGCATTTACATTGGTATGTGTCCAGGACGTAAAGTAAGAATGTCAATTAGTGTGTGCTGGGGGAGGGAGACGTTATATCCTACAGAGGACATTAAATCATGGCACTCTTGCTAAAAATAAAATCTCTTTCCCCACCCTGCCATTCTCTACAGTGGCTCGTCTGGGAAGCAAAGAACATGGATTATCCCCTCTGTTCAAACTGAACTCACGACAGTATACCGGGTTCGCCATAAGAGCAGACGGACAACTTTTTGGGACAGCTCTCCTCCACTTTTACCCTTCAGGAAGGACAACGCCTTTCAGCCACAGTTAGTGACGTCTTCCGCCGAAGACTTGACTCATTGGATATTCTCAGTAAATGGAATCTAACCGGCTTAAGGATTTCAGACTGCGGACTTCAAATTAAGTGAATAGCTTTTGTGAATGGGTTTTGGTCAAAAGTAATCAATCAATGCCTGACTACCACTACCGACCGTCTTGACCAGGGCCACAACAGATGGACCCTGATAGAATGGGAGAAAACTGTGGAACAGAACTCAAATTCCTAAAACCAAACAAACAAAAAAACCAGACCTACTGTGCTGGTTGAGACTGGAGGACTCCCTGAAACTACTGGCCTGAGATACTCTTCAAACCTTGAACCGAAACTAACCCCCGAGGTCACCTTGTAGCTAGTTAATAAACTGGCTCAAAAAATAATGCATATCACCCATAAGTACTGTGCTGCTTTTAAAAGTCACCTATATGAGACCAAGCGGTCAACAAAGATGAGAATGTAAGGGGGCAGGGAAACTAAATTAATGGAAACAGAGCGACCAGCACAGAAATAATGAGAATGTTCACGCATCGTGAAGAATGGAACCGTTGTCACTGTAAGACTCGTGTAGAAATTGTTGAATGGGAACTAAACTGCTATGTAAACCTTCACTGAAAACACAATAAAATATTAGTACTAAAAAATAATAATAACGAATAAATAAATGACATAAGAAGTAATCAATCAGCGAATATACTCAACCCACTGACATGAGAGCCACCCACCTTCCGGCAGGGTTAGGGCGTGTAAAGGACAGGAGTACAGGAAGTGCCTGGGTTGTAAGTGACATCATTGTCTCTCAGAAAAAAGGCACAAAACAGAGGCAGCTTGAGCACTTGGATTCCACGAGGCTGCTATGCGGAAGCTCTGTTTATTGTTAACTTGGCAGGAACCAGTAACGCTGGGCACGGAGGTGCTTCTCCTCTCATGGCTGCAAATGCAGGCAGTGGTGCTTCCAATGACTCATGACGTTTCTGTTTTCGTCATTAACACATCTGACTTCATATAAAGGAGCTATGTCCCTACCCATCACCACCCAGTTGATTCTGACTCATGGCAACCCCATGGGTACACAGTAGAACTGTGCTCCCTGGGGTTTTCTTGGCTATATCTTCATGTCTACCACGCATGACCCTGCTGGTATTTGAGACACCAGTGGCATAGCTTCCACTGGTATTTTTATGGAAGTATCTTTATGGAGGAGCCCTGGTGGCGCAGTGGTTAAGTGTTTGGCTGCTAACCAAAAGGTCAGCAGTTCAAATCCACCAGTCACTCCTTGGAAACCCTATGGGACAGTTCTACCCTGTCCTGTAGGGTCACTATGAGTTGGAATCGACTCAACAGCAATGGGTTTGGGTATTTTTTTCTGGGTATATTTATGGAAGCAGCTCGCCAGGCCTTTTATTTGTAGCACCCCTGGGTGGCTTTGAACCACCAACCTTTATGTTAGTAGTTGAGCGCAAACCGTTTGCACCATCCAGGGACTTGCTACGTTCCGAGGAGCCTGTACATGGAGCTTGGATAGCTAAAGACCGGTCAGTGAGTAATGTTGGAAATTATTAAGTAAGTCTTGCTCGTTGTTAGAGGGATTCAGAGAATGAGGAACACAACATGGAACTGAAACGATGTCTGGAAGAAAGAGCCGACACCTACGCTCCAGTCCAGAGTCGCTCTGGGCTCCTTGGCGGGGCCGTTTGCCACAGGGAGGCTGAGCGGGTGCACGGGAGCCAGGTGCTGCAGGCCTGCCCGGGAGATTGCCTTCCTGCAGCAAGAAGAGAAAACACAAAGAAAACCCAACGTCAGAAGGAAATACAGAGCTCAAAGTGCACCGGGGTACAAGTGATGCCTGAGTTCATCTTCCACACATGAAACCTCTACAAATGTGACAGAAGGTACCTGTCTGTCTGTATATTGTACTGTGGGGGCTTGCGTGTTGCTGTGATGCTGAAAGCTATGCCACTGGTATTTCAAATACCAGCACGGTCACCCATGGTGGACAGGTTTCAGTAGAGCTTCCAGACTAAGATGGATTAGGAGAAAGGGCTGGCAATCTACTTCCCAAAAGAAGCCAATGAAAACCCTATGGATCACAACAGAATATTGTCCAACTCGCTGGCTTTGGATACGTCTTCAGGAAGGATCAATGGCTGGAGGAGGACCTCATGTTTGATGAAGCAGAGGGCCAGCGAGGGTGAGGGAGGCCCTTGGTGAGATGGACTGGCACAAGAGCCACAACAAAAGACTGGAACGTGCCAGTGACTGTGAGGATGGCACAGACAGGCAGGCTTTCGTTCTGTTGTGCATAAGGTCGCCATGAGTCAGAGTCAACTGGATGGCAGCTAACGATGACGACAAAGTGAAGACAGAGAGTGTGGCGGTTCCCAAACACAGGGAGGTCAAGGAGGGGAATAACTGTCTCAGGGCCTGAAATTACAATGTCAACCCCTACTCGGGGCGAGGGCATGAATGCAGGTCTCTCCATTCACAGAGAAAGTCCTCAGGCTTGGGCAGTCACAGTACCTGGACGATGTTAACGTTGCCACAGGCTAAAAGCAAGGAGAGCTGTCTTCCGCTGAAATGCCTTCATTTCCCACAAAGTCCTCTCCAAGCCTGGTGACAGCTCAGAGCTCACTCTTCTCAGCTCGAGAACATCTCCCTTACCCCGCAGAGGCCCTACTACAGGGAGCCTGGGCCCTCAATGGACAAAGGCTGGTTTGTATCTGCTGAGAACTGGCAAAGTCTCCTACACCACTACCGTACGAAGGTGTGCGGTCAGAGAAGACCAAGGCGCACTGCTTAGCCTGGCGGTTTGCTGGGTGGAGCACAACACAATCAGGTGGGAAGGAGGGGAGGAAGCAGAAGAGCAGGAGGAAGCCAGCCCTGGCCTCGGTCGGCAAAGATGAGAAAGCAGAGGAGCCGCTTTAGCAAAGACACACCGTACTGCTGAAAAGGGGGGGAAGGGGGCAACCCAGAGGGGAGAGTAAGCACAGAAAGAAGAAGGAAGAAAGTGGGACTACTTAGGGAGCTCTTGTGGCATCACTAGGAAGGAAAGAAGTTCATTTTCTGAAGAGCACCATGAAAACATCAGACAAGGGTCTCGGGCTTACATGTTGTTGTTATTAACACTGGGTCAGTGACGACTCCTGGTGACCCCAAGTGTGCAAGTGTGCAGAGTAGAACTGCCCCATGGGGTTCTCAAGGCTGTGCCCTTTTGGAAGGAGATCACCAGGCTGCCGACCTCTAGGTTGGTAGTCCAATGCTTAACCATTTGCGCCACTCAGGGACTCCCGAGCCTACACATTCGTGTTGATTTGTGCATTAAGTTAACTAAGTGGCTCCCTGCAGGAGAGAAGGGCTCTGTCTCTGTGGCTGCATCTTAGTGTGGTCTGAGGATTACCGCAGTCAGGAGCAGGTGGAGTCTGCATGTGGAATCAGTAAGAGGGCAGGTGCAGGAGTCTGCTCGTACACACCCTCCCCTGGGCTTGTTTCTGTGCCTCAAAGGTTTCAAACACTGCTGAATAGGAGCAAGTGTGTTGGGGCAGGTGGGAGAGCAGTAACTTACCCAGACCCATAGGGGGAGCCCTAGGGGGAAAACAGCCACTTCACTACCTACTTCTCCCCACACTGGGCCCTCTGAAGCTTGTCTTGTATTCCATGAACCTCGCAGTAGGGAGCCGCTCCCCCTGACCCCGGAGCTCCAGGGAGGCTCACTTCACCTAGCCGAGGCATAAGGAAAGGGAGGAGATTTCATTTCCAACAGATGCTGTTGTTCTTGTTGCTGCTGTTAGCTGCCGCCGAGTCGGCCCCGACTCCTGGCAACCCCATACACAATGGAATGAAATGCTGCCCAGTCCTGCGCCATCCCCATGATCCGCTGTGGATCAGACCATCATAATCTATAGGGTTTTTATTGGCTGGTTTTCAGAAGTAGATCACCAGACGTTTCTTCCTAGTCTGTCTAAGTCTGGAAGCTCCACTGAAAGCTGTTCAGCATCCTAGCAACACCCAAGCTTGCACTTACAGACAGGTGGTGGCTGCACTGGAGGTGCATTGGCCAGGAATCAAACCCAGGTCTCCTGCATGGAAGGTGAGAATTCTACCACGGAACCACCAATGTTCCCTCCAAGAGGGGCTACAGACAGTGAAACGGGGGAAAGGAAGGCAGTGATGACCAAGGGCTGGCACATCCCATCATGACCAAGCCGCTGAAGGCGAGCCAGGAAAGGAGCGGGAGTAAGGGGGGCCGAGTAGTCCTGGTGGCGCAACCATTAAGCGTCCAGCTGCAAACCAAAAGGTTAGTAGTTCGAATCTACCCGGCACCTCCACGTGAGAAAGACGTGGTGATCTGCTCCCATAAAGATTACAGCCTAGGAAACCCTAAGGGGCAGTTCTACTCTGTCACATCTGAAAGCCTGGTTGAGCTTTAAAAGGCAGGCAATCTCTCTGTGCTGGTCTTGGGTGGAATTTGTAAAACTGAGCAACATTGTCGGCAGCCCCAAAAGGAGAGGAGAGGCTGGCTGGAAAGCAGAAGAGAGCCCAGGATGGTGCGACCAGCAGCCAGTGGCCAGGTGTAGCTGAGAGCTCAGCGAGTATCCAGCCCTGTTCTTCCCTCTCTCAGATTCCTACCCAGGAAGTCCCAGAAATAGCGGTGAGGTCTTCACTAGTCAGCAGTGATACCGGGCTTGCTGGCAGCCTACTTTCACTAGCTCCCACTGGGCAGCGAGCAATGTACTTGCTTTCTACAATCCCCCAAAGAGTCATGGCAAGGATGCAGGCCTTTACGGAGACAGTTTGGTAACATGCTGTTCTCTTTGCTCACTATCATCAAGGCAAATAATTAGCAACATCAATTTTGGCCCTTCACCCCAAAGTGGATTCAGTATCATTGAGCAATAAGGGAAGAACAGGGAAGAGTCTTGTATGGAGATTCTTCATGCCCCGACCTTCTTCCTCCACCCAAGTTCAAGGAGGTTCTTTAGCCTTCCCAGCTAGGGACTTTCCCCCAAGGAAGGCTCTGTATGGAGGCTCTGAGTCACAGTTGTCATCACCAGAAAGCCAGATCTCTGTGGGGTCAGACTCTACAGGTTCCAACTTTGATTCCACCACCAAAACCTGCACCTAAATGTTTTAACAAAAATTACTAAACTGTGCCTAAGCACAAAGCCTTAGAATGGTTGAAGACTTCCTAAATCTCAGGTGGATTTAAACACATGAATTCTTCATCTTTTCATGAACTGCCCCAGACAGTTAAGATCAAAAAAAGAAGGAGGAACAACTCAGAAAAGGAGGCTGAGAACTGTTGCACAACTCGAAGAATGTAATCAATGTCACTGAATTATACAGGTAGAAACTGCAGAGCTGGTGTATGGTTTACTGTATATATCCTCGACAACATCAACAAAATAAAATTTAAAAAAGAGGAGGAGGAGGAGAGGGAAGAGAAGGAAGAAATAAAGTTCTATCAGGCGCCAGTAAAAATCACAGGGCGAATGAACTTAATTCATCAGAAGCTGCAAACACTGACTACCAAAACCTGATTACTCTTCCTAGTTAAGACTTCAAAAGATCAAAAAAAGAAAGGAAAAAAAAAAATACTGTTGCCATTGAATCGATTCCAAGTGCTCCACAGGGCTTCCAAGGAGCCACTGGTAGATTTGAGCTATTAATCACTTCACCACCAGGGCTCGGGTTAAGACTTCAGAAGGGGCGAATTACTGACGTAATCCAATTAGGATGTCAGGGATGCCTGCATCTATGAAAAACCACTGTGGCCATATGATAATCTTAACCCAGTTGCTATGGAGTCGACTCTGACTCACGATGACCCATGTATGTCACAGCAGAACTGTGCTCCATAGGGTTTTCAGTGGCTGATTTTTCAGAAGCAGATCACCAGGTCTTTCTTCTGAGGTACCTCTGTGTGGACTCGAACCTCCAACATTTCTGTTAGCAGCCCAGTGAGTTAACCGTTTGCACCACCCAGGGACTCCGTGGCTGTAAGAGACACACAAATCCGGCTAAGCCCTGCAGGCATATACAGTCATACCACATGCTTTCCTAGCCTGTGAAAAGAAACGTTTCAGTAAGGGATTCTGCTGATTATTCCTCACTGTGGATGCAAATTTAAGGTTGGTTTTATATAACATTAATAGAAGAAAATTGTATATCTACCACACATGTAAACATTAATTAGGAGGGAAAATAAGTAAGAAACATCAAACTGGTTGCCAGTTTGTAACTGTAAAAGCGTCTTACAAAGGACATTACATAAGAAACAGAATAGAAAAAATAATTATAGGCATGACGGGAGGGAGAGGTTAGCTTCTGATTATAGCTTTCCATTCTCCTAAATAACTATGGAATAAAATCTTTTTTTTCTGAGTTCATACATGCATACACATTTTTTTTCCCAAAGCAAGAAAGCAACATCATTATTTCTCAGACCTCAAAATTAGTGTAATTTATTTTCCCATTTGAATTGTCTTGGTTGTGGAAGATGACATTTAAGAGTCTCATAGAACTTGGTGTGTGTTGGGGAGGGAGGGACTGTATACTACAATTGGCTCCAATAAAAAAATCAATGGGGTTTCAATTTCTCATTCTTTCCTCCTGCTCAGAATCCTCCCAAGCCCACAGTCAGCAAAACCTTGAAATAAATGCCAATGACTCTTTCCATTAATTTCACAACACTTCGTAGGGGATGACTGTAATCACAAAAGAATCTCTGAAAAGGAGAACTGTAATATTAAGTGAGAAATAGAT